AGATTCTAAACTGCATGGTAGAAGGATTCTGTGAATTTAATCTGCTGCTAATTTTTTTTAAGAATTTAATATATATTTTGTTGCATTGTTTTGTTTAGATGTTGTTAGACAACATTAAACTGCAGTTGTGGGGAAATTGCTTTTATTTAATTGACAGATGGTTCAGTCATGAGGCGCTATTTGTATTTTTAAATTAGTGCAGTGATTTTTTTTTAAACTTTGTCCATCTTCTGAATTACAGATAGAAATTTGACATTTCAGAAGCTGCATCTTTTTGCATCTTCAGGTATGAAGAAAAGGTTAGAGACCCTAACTGTTGGGCCCCCTCATTAAGCTAGCTCAACCAGGAAGAAGATAAAACTTCCAAAATGTATTTTTATTTCCATTTGTGATGTAGGTGATGGACAAAGGCCCACCTCCGAATTTTTGTTTTTACAGATTATAAGAACCATCATCAGAAACCTTAAGACTTCATTCAGTGTAGTGATGTTTCTTTCAGTGCACTTTGATGGGAGCTGGTTGGGAAGGAGCTTGTGGTGTTGCACCTATTTTCATGTCACTCTGCCTGAAATTTTGTTACTCTAACATGTAGTTTGTGAATTTCAGATGTAAATGTGATATGTGCAGAGTACAATGAGCTGTCAACTTGGTGGTGTGATGTTCGCAGTGTGCTGATGGATTCTGTGAATCCATTCATGGCACTCACAGGAGCCATTGTTTGCAGAGCTGTTGCTCTTTGTGTGGAAAGGGAAAGGGATTTCAAGGTCAGCACCTGTGGGGAATGTTTGAAAACGTAGTCTTATATAGGAATTCGTTTCAAAGCAAAGGTTGTCATTCTTGACGTTTCTGAGCGCACAGCCAGAAAGTGCATACCAAAACCTCTAGCGAGATGTGCGTAATGCTGAGAATGAAAATTGTTACGGCTTGCTATGTAACAAGTGAGTGGGCATTTAAAGCTCCATCATTCACCCCCCCAACTGGATGAATTTTGATTGCAGAACCATCATGCACATGATGTCTTGGTTCCAAATGCAGTGCCGGCAGGTGCAGTTTCACAGCAACAAGAATCCTCTGCTGCATCACCAGACGATGAGGCTCACAGTTCAGCAAGTGAGTGGGAGAATGTCTCTCGTGACACCTGTCATTGGAGCTTGCTGATTGGCCAGTTGGAAGATGTGGCTCTGTTGGACACAGTGTTAAGGTAAACAGATATTTCCTGTTATTGACGTACTATATTTATGCGAATATAACTGCTCATTTTCTCCAAATTTGCATCCCGTAAAACTAGAATACAGTTTGCAGTTTTCTACTTAGAGAAACAATGGAACTATTTCTAGGTAATAGTAAATATACAGAATATTGTTTTATTATGTTTATTTTATTAATGTTCTGTCTGAGGACAGGTCCATATGAACAGGATCCTTCCATCCTTTTCTCGGACTGGGACCTGTTCATATACGTTCTTGGCAGATGATCCAGAAGTGGTTTGCCATTGCCTTCTTCTGGGTGTGAATGGAGTAATTGTTGGGATGCCACAGAGGAAAACTCCGTGTTGCCTAGACCAAGGCCTTGCCCAACACAAGTTATAAATGCGAACCCGAGACCCCAGGATTACAAGGCCAATGTTTGTTTGTTTGTTTTTCTCGTACTCCACCAGACTTTTCATTTAGTAACGTGCATAATGGATTTTCCCCTCCAGAACCTTCGCTTGTTTCTCGTATAAAATGGTCCGTGCACAATTCTGACTTTAATTAAATTCCTACGCATTTATATTATCCTGAAAAAATGTGCGCCTTGTTTACAAAATTCATTACATCTTCCAAAGTTCTCGTGTTCCTGTAATTATTTTTTGAGCACTTAGAGACGGGTATGTGGCCGACACTTATGATGGCTTTTGAACAAATCTCAGATGATTCTTTTCTGCAATTTCCAAATTCACAACATGTGACTGCTCGCACCTCTGAAGCTTTGCAAGTTCTGAGGTGTATTTGTATTTGGTTAGAAAAAAAAATTACATAAACTTCACACTGAATGCCAGAGCCTCATATGCCAAATTTTATCACATTCTGATATAGTGAGTTGTGAATTTTACTTTTATTCGTGTTGGTTTCCCATGGAATATCCTAGACATTACAAGTCATGTACTGCCAAGCAATGCTTGCATATTGCATGCCATGATGTTTGCTGTTATCTATTGATTTAATAAAAGAATCTGAAATTTGACTTCTGTAGCCCTGTCAGAAAAGGTGCGGGATTTCAAATGGCATATATCAGTGCCAAAGATAAAAGAATGGATTCTTTTGTGTCCCATTAAAATAAACTAATAGATCACACCACGAAGAGGAAGGGAAAAAGTAAAGCATCGCATCATCCATTAGTGTATGAAGCTCCGTACGCAGATTTTATATTACCCAACAGTTTGCTGTGGCCATGACTTCATGTAGCAGGAATACTTTTTGTCGTGAGGACATTGATAATGCGCTGAATGAATAACATTGATTCTGACAATATTTCATTCTATTCACTCACTCTGTCATGCAGGAAATTCTTTGAAAAGTCAATTGTATACTCGGTTTGTCAAAGAATAGCCCACTTTCTTAATTGAACCCAAAGGTCCATCACCGTGTGCACAAAAGCCTGCCACTGGATTCTATCCTGAGCCAGCGCATCCAGTTCGCTGCATCGATTCCTACCTCCCTAAGGTATATCGTAACGTTATCCTCCCACCTATGTCTAGGTCTTTCCAGCGGTCTCCTCCCTTCAGGCCTCCAAACCAATACGTTGTAAACACGCCTCCCCTTCCCCATGCGTGCCGCATGTCTCGCCCACCTCATCCTCCTATCATCCAATACCAGGTGAAGAGTACAGGATGATTCTAGTGTAATTGATGATTTACCAGTTCAAGAAGCTATTGTCATGGTGGAAAGTGTAAGTGACAGTATTGATAGTGTGCAAGGTGTGGGTGGTTTTCAGAGAGTGGCTAATTTTTGTGCATTTAGATTTGAGAACATGTCATATTAAGTAGGGCAAACAGAACAGTTTCTGTGAAAGTATGGATTTCAGAACGAAGTGAAAGGAAATGTAAGTGAATACCAGATGAGTTCAGGATGTTTTTACACAGCAGCTAATTCAAATAATTTTGAAACAAGAAGAATGCATATAATCTTGGGGCATTGAGCTTCCATTTCAGTCTGGGATGAGGTACTGGAACGCCCTATCACTGAAGATGAAATGTTTGTTGTCTTGGTTCTTTTTATGGTAATGGACATAGTACAAAAGCTTTGTTTTATTAAAAATTGTGTCTTAGCTTCACACGTCTTTGGATCGGTGGACCAATGTTTGTATTTCACCTAAGCTCATTTTAAATTCTTTCCAGGCGGAAGCCAACACCAGGAGAAAAGGGTGGAATGCAAATATCACCCAAACCTCAGCTGTTCTGCTGTCTTTACAGGAGGCCTGCAGTGTCGCTTAGCTATGTTCTCAACAGAGGAAAAGGTACTTGGGAATTTAAAAGTTTTATACGTAACTTCATTTCGTTCCTAGGTGTGGTTTCTTGCACACCTGTTTTTGGGAATGATTACGGTATGTGTATGGTTTTAACAACTTGAGTCAAAAGAGAAGAGCCCTTGAGAAGCTGACAGTTGCTCAGATAGTCAAGAAATTTTCCATCTTTTATGGAACCTGAAGGGTTATTGCCTTGTTCACAAGAGCCGGATACCAATCTATATCCAGAGTCAGAATGAATTTGCTCTACAACCTCCCTCCCTATTCTGTAAGAACTAGTTTAATACAATCATTGCATGTTTGCCCAAGTGTTCTGATTGGTCTCTTCCTTTTAGGTTTTCCAACCAAAATATTGTATGCATTTCTCACTTCTCCAATGCTTATTTCTTGCCACCCATCTCATTCTTTACTTTTATTGTATCATAATTTTTGGTTAAGAGTACAAATTATAGAGCGTCAGTGTAGTGACTGGCTACGGACTGGATGACCGGGGTTCTATCCCTGACGGGGGCAAAGGATTTTTCCTCTAGCCTCTGCATCCAGACAGGTTCTGGGGCCCACCCAGCCTCCTAGCCAATGGGTACCAGGTGTTATTTTATATTCTGTTGTTTGCAATTGTCTGTTGCCCTAGTAGTCATTATACATGTTTTCTGAATAATTTTAAAGTAAAATTAATAGAGTGACAGCAGTTTCTGTTTTGGATTTTTCGTAGGATCAGTGTCTGAGCTTGTTGCTCAGTGGCTCAGTTCTGCAGGACTTGACCCATGCAAACTGGTGGACGTGTCTGATGTTGAATTTGAAAATTTGGAACAAGAGCAGACGGAAGAAAGTAATTTGAGGAAAACTGCTTCTGTAGACATCAAGGAAGGTTGCAAGCTGGAAGTCGAGCAAGGGACAGAAGCCACGCCAGCAAATGAACATGAAACTGAGATACTGGGTTTGTATAAACTGCCTTAATTTAGTAGTTCTGTCTTTTTCGGGCTCAAAAGCTTTGGTTAAATATTTAATGACAGGGACGTCTGGGAGTTTCCTCTGCCCCAGTAAATAGTTGCTGGAATGGAGAAAAATAGACAAAATGCTTTACTACTTACCTGTCCATCCTTCCAATGGCGCTACAGCCCAAGTTCGTGCCTTGGCCTCCTCCCATGTGGGAGGTTTCCTTGTGTTTTGAAGTGTGCATCTGTGAGTAGTGAGTAACGAGCCCACTGCCTCCGCACAATTTCTACTCAATCCAGATTTGTCTGCTAGAGCCGTCTAGTAGAGAATCAGGAGAGATATGGGTGAGAAATGGCCGCTGAATTTTGCTTATGAAACATCTAGTTCATACTCGTAAGGTTCTTTTACGTGCCGTAAATCTGCGACATGGGACCGCCAGCTTTACTTCCCCTCCGAAGGAAGTTGTGCTATGAATTTTTATCATCGTTAAAAATCCATCGACCTCGGCCGAGTTTGAACCCGCGAACCTTGGGTCTAGTGGCGAGCACGCTAACCACTAGTCCACTGAGGGCGACACTACTTACTTGTCACATATTTATAAATTATTTGTCTTAAAATTGTCATTATTCTTGAATTTATAAATCTGATAGTTCACTACAGAATGACAAGGGATTGTGCAGGGTGTCTATCAAGTAATAAAAATGAATTCAAAGGAGGCTTGTGGGTGTATTGGTATCAGTGTGCGTGGAAGTTTGATGGAAGTGTCCAAATTTACGCTTTTGGTCGGTACAGCTGAGTGTGTGCACTCCATGTTGCCTGGCAGACAGGTAAATGATATTTAGTCTTACCAGATGTTCTCCAGCATGTTAGTGGTGATCTGTGGTAGGTTTTCACTCTGTCTTAGTAGATGACGTTCTACATGAATCCCTACAAAAAGAAATTTTGTGGGGTGATCTCTGGAGGACTGTGTGTCCAGTCAGTTTTTGTGATATACTTTCACTTGAAACATTTTGTTTCAGTTTCACATTGAAGTTATTGTGAAATTTTTAATTAAGACCACTTATTTCCATGATCTATTAGCTCGTAGAAAAGGAATTTACTTGCTAAAGCTGCTAGTGAATGGAGCAAAAATCTGAAGTGATAAGATGCGGACTCTGTAGAATAAACTTCTTTAGTGAAGATTTGTTTTTGCAGCTAACCTGGCTATGCTAAAATGCCACTTCCCATACAGTTTGTCATCAAGTATTCTTTTGGCCAATTTGTGCTGGGAATTCATGTTGGCATGGCACCGCAACGTGGATGAGTTGAATGCTCTGCATGCTGCAGTGAAATGCCTACAAGCAGTTCCGTCACCTCATCTGAAAGCAGGTAAGATGCTGATACCAGGATTTTGCCAGCTTAAATTGGAAATACTGAAAGACTGAGGTATCTGGGGAAAACTTAAGACACCCACTCTCTAAACGCTTCCATGTAGCAGAAATGAGATTACTTATTACTATGACTGTCTGTATAAAATAGACTAGTATATGTAGTAATTCATTAGTACAGTGCCAGAAATTTTTGCACACGTAACTTCGTATTTGATGCTGTCATCGTAACTGACTCCGCAGTGCACGGCTTCTCAATGAAGTTGTAAGTTTCTTAGATGGTCAAATTTCTGCCTCTAAGATACCAAGACTTTCATTACTGTGGTGATTGCCTTGCATTCTGGTGTATTCCTCTCCCCAAAGTTCCAACATTGACACGTAATGGGACAAAAAAGAAATTTTGCCTGTACATTATAAATACTGATAGTTCCCAGTGAACATGATTTTGTTGTAATGCTGTTTTAAAACTTGGGCTCATTTCAAACTAACGTGCTCGGTTTAACGCAATCTCTGCACGGCGGTGATATGTTCCTGTAAGTTCTGAGAAGGGTGAGATAAGTCTGCTGTACGTGCATGTGTTTGCAGTCTTGTGTGTGTCAAGCAGCCAATTAATTGATTTATTTAATTTACATTTATTATCATCTGAGTGAAATAATGTGTGGTAAGGGTTAGAAGAATGCTGATGGTTCTGCTGTTGATGGTCAGAATAAGAGATGTAGAAAAGTTGTAACTTTATAGCAGAAACTCGGTGTGCTCAAGTGGTACGAGAAGAATGGGAAAACGTGTGGGATTGTCCATGTTACCAACTTAAATGAAGTGATGCTTTGTACCTTAAATTCAAATGCTGCCAAAATTAAAGCAAGTAATGCTAGTGCTGCTTCTGTAGCATAAGCCAGTTATCACAGGCAAGGTCTGCAGTTCTACAAAGCAAATTCATCTGCGTATCTCATGGCTATAAAGGTAAAAGCTTCAAGTCATTTTGAACTTGCAGAATCAAAAGAATTGCCTCCTGATGCTGACCCTGTTGTGGTTCAGTTGACTTCATCTTCTCCATCCCCTCTCTCTCCTCAGCGACTACATCTTTGCTATCCTGCATTGTGCTGCAGTGTTGCCACATTTTGCTTATTTATTTTTGGTTTATTTAATGTTGCTGTTAGTATCTCAGTCTGAATATCATCAAGTGATAGGATCATTAATGAACAATGAATCGGAAGGTTATGGAAGGAAGTACTCCAAGGTACTATCCTGGTAAATGATTGGAGGGACTGAGGAAGACCACAGAACGCATCATTCAGGATAGCTGGACTCTTGGTTGAGATTTGCCTGCGGTACCTTCCCAGATATTAAGCA